AATAAAGAGCAGGATATCAAGAGAGTATAGTCATGTCAAAGCATTAAATATAATATAAATGCCAGACTAGGGGACTCAGGCTGAAAAGGGAATACAAAGCAGCAAAGGGAGTACTAACTACTCTAGGAGAGTTCAAAGTCTATGAGATGGAAATTTTCCAGAAAATGCAAATAAATTTTAGGCTTGCTTAAGTTGAGATGTAGTGGAGGGAAGCAAGCAAAGAAATTGGGAGGCTCGAACATTGCAAAGATTGTTGGTTGCAATGTCAGAGTTTCCCAGGGTGGTGTCAGAAGTTATGTCCTAGAAAGATAAAACAGGGAAACCTCCTGAGAAGCAGGATGGGCGAGGTGACCTCGTGAGGAAGAGGGGACCAGGAAGACTAGAACCAGTGTAAAATTCAACAAGCAAGTTCAACAGATCATCTGGAATGTGGTAGGTAATTAATCTGATTTGCAAATGTCATCAGATATTTGGGAACACAAGTCCTTCTTGTTCTCATGATCCACAACCAGAAACCACAAGTACAGAACCTCCAGGCCTGTCCCTGCCTGCTGGCGCATGAAACATCAGAGGAGGTAGTTGAAGAGAGAGATCAAACTACGAAACAGCCATTAGATGCCCCTGGCTGCAGCAACTTTGCTCAAGGCTAGCTGTGTCCTCAGACTGACTACAGCAAGCTCACATTTTGTAGCAGCTTTATTCAGGTAACATCTCTTCTCCTCTATCCTTAGGCCAAGTCAGTAACGGGGTCTCTTTGGCTTTCTTCTCTGTCAGTAGGTTTCCCTGTGTGTTTGTTTTCCTCCAGCACCCTCCTTTTGAATCCTCTGCATATCAAATTAGGGAAAATTTCATTGATAGTAAGGTTGTCCCTCATTTCTCTCCATGTCCACCAGCTGCACTTTGGAGGAGAGACAGAATGGATAGAGTATGGCATGAGGAAGTTGATGAAAGGACTTGGAAAGTATCTTCTCTCTGGGCCTTAATATTTCCATCCTTATAAAAAAAAGAGTTTGGCTAACAAAATTGGAAATTTAAAATAGTTACACTCTTTACTTATAGTAATATCAGTTTATCCTATAAAGCTTGTACTTTTTCTGAGGCTCACATTTCTGAGATGTTGAAGCTAGAATTTAAACTCAGATATATACACACATATATGTACACATCTATATATGAGTACCTATATGAGTCATAAATTTTATAAAAATCATAAAAATTATATCTAGATCTAGCTATAGATATACATATTCTTGCAACAGGGGAGGTATACATAAACTTTATCACCCAGGACCAACAATTCCATTTTCAATCCATTTTTCTTGTATTTGAACACATGTAACTGGCCTGGAAGAAGGAACTTAGGTAGGAAAAGGGGGACTTTAGTGTGGCAGAAACTCATCCATCCCAGGGAATCAAATGACTTGCATTATAGGGTGACATGTTCCTGATTGTGCAGGACAGTCCTGAGTTCACACCTGTGGTTTTGAAATTCTTAGAAATTCTTAGAGTCCATGTACACTAATATGAATGGCCCAGTTTAGATGATCTATTGTGGGGTGAACCTACTGGTAACATGCCTGAGGAATTACAGCCATGAGCCTAATTCTTCTTTTAAACCAGGACTGATGGCAGAAAAAAAGAAAGAAAAAAAGGTTATTTTAACTGTTTTCTTTCCTTCTTTTGAGTAGGAGGGCCCTCTCAAGACTGAATCCCATGCCATTGTGAGACGACCATGGCCAAGTTTATGGAAATGGCACCACCTCAGGATTGTGGGTTCTCTCATGTTTGCAAAGCCAGATGTGCAACACATTAGGAATAAAATATCTTGGGCATTTTCACAGGTCTCCCCAAAGCAGGACATTAGATGAGATCAAATGGCTGCCTTTCCCCACATGACCATATTTTTCCTGGTATCCTGCACATTGACACATGTTTTTTCAGGTAAGCAACTTGGGAGGGAAACATCTGATCGTCTTATAGTTGTAGGGAAGAAAAAGAATAATTTGTGGCTAGATAGGAAATGTTTTGCTGAAACATTTTGGGCTGGATAATGCAAATTGGTATCAATTGGGCATCACAGTTGGAAAAGGGAGTTACTATGGAAAATCCTCCAATATCTGAAAACTAAGTAACATACTTCTACATAATGCCTGGGTCAAGAAAAATCAAAAGAACAGTTCAAAATCATTTTGAACATGAAGAAAACAAAACAAAATGAACAAAAGTTTAGGTTCAAATAGGAGCCATTGCCTCCACATCCTTTTCCTTTCAATGCAATGCCACCCTCGCCCTGCATGTAACCAGTTTCATTCGTCTCTGTATCTTTCCTGTGTTTCTTTTTGCTCAAATAAACATATACATGCACATTTTGTTATCCTTCTAAAAGATAGCATGCTATAGATACCTGTTGAGTTGGTTTTTGTTTTGTTCATTTGTTCCTTTTTGTTTTATATCCTACTCATGTGTGAAATTATAGGTTCTTGTCCTTTTCTGTCTGAGCTTTTTCACTTAGCATAATACTCTCATTTGAAAATATGTATTCTAGGATATTTTAAATACTATCTAACAGTGAAAGATAAGGAAGAGCAGAGCTACAGTAGGTCTTTTCTTCTTTCATTCTCCCACAGCCAGCTGGTCATTCTCTATCCCCAAGGCAACACCTGCACCCCTCACACAAAACAGTCTCACTAGAGCCAAGGAACTCCCAAGTTTCCCCCTCATCATTCACTGTCATCTTTAGTTTGGCCTCTTAGTAGGAACTGGCCTAATACTTTGTTTACTATGTCATATTTAATTTTTAAAACAATCTTCTAAATGCATACATTTATCCCAATTGTAGCAGAGAGGAAACTAAAGCCAACAAAAGCCAAGTAACTTAATGAAAATAACATGGGTGGCAACTTATGCAAACGACCCCAAACAGTTTTTACCCTTTCCTCAACGACACAGCAAATTTATAAATGAAGTCAGGACTGACTGCGAAAATGAAAGGAAGAATAAATAAATAGATGAAGTATTTACCAGCCACAAATTCTGTTGTGTACTTTTGTGCAAATGAGTTATTAAATTGCATTTCTTTATTCAGTTAGTAACTTTAGTGGGTGAAATCATATTCCATGGAAAACTATTTATTTTAACCTATTGCGTCTGTCCTTTATTTGCAGACATTTTCAAAGATCATGACCTCACTAAATGGCCTAAGGTAAATTTAAATTTCTCAGTTCTGAATTCTGATTTTAATCTGATCACTCTCCTGACATGAGAGACCTAAAACATAGTGGTAAGGTAGAATGGAATGTTTCTATGGGACTGTCGGCACATATGTTAACCTCTTCAGATTTAGATTTACTCCCAGGTAACACAGGCATGAAAATAGTGAAATATACCTCGTGAGCATTAAATGAAATAACACCTGTCACTTGCTCAAGGTTACAAGGTTAAAAAGCAGTATATATAGGAGTGATATCAGAAACACGGCAGTGCGAGGGTTCCCCTTGACCTCTCCCCTCAAAGTTACAAGTTGAACAGCTACAATTCAACAAGGGATTCCCTGTGCAACACACAAACGTGTCTGGTAGATCCACACATCGAAACATTTGAAGGTGGGCCTATCGGGGCAAACAGAAGAGAGGGAAGGGAGAAGAGCAGAGATGGGTGCTGTGGACACAGCCTGGGACTCACAGCCAGTCCAGGAGATGGGGAGGATTTGGGCTGCAGGTGCTTTCTGTGGGCCTGAGCATTCCTGCCTGAGTGATCAGCATAAACTACAGCTGAACTCAGTGACTGGGGCAGAGACCAAATGCAGAAGTGCAAAGCTGTGTTCTAGCAGCTGCCATCGCCAGGTAGAAAACAAAGCCAAGGAGTCTGGCATCTACTAACAGAACCACAGGTAGAAACAGACAAAAGCACACTTATAGGAGGGACCCTAAATACCCCCATTGACAGCTATGGATAGATCATCCAAACAGAAAACCAATAAGGACTTATCAGCCTTAAATGACACTTTAGGCCAGCAGTTCTCAACCTGTGGGTTGCGACCCCCTTGGGGGTCGAACGACCCTTTCACAGGGGTCACCTAAGACCATCGGAAAACAAAAAGATACTTACATTACGATTCATAACAGTAGCAAAAGTACAGTTATAGAGTAGCAACAAAAATAATTTTATGGTTGGGCGTCACTACAACATGAGGAACTGTATTAAGGGGTCGCGGCATTAGGAAGGTTGAGAACTGCTGCATTAGGCCAAGTGGACATAATCAACATTTATAGAGCCTTTCAGCCCAGATTATACACTCTTCTTTAGAGCACATGAAACATTCTCAAGGACAGACCATATGTTGGGACAATAAACTTAAGATTGAAATCATATCAAGCATATTCTCTGACCACAGTGCTTTGAAATTGGAAATCAAATATGTGGAGATTAAATATGTTACTAAAGAACAACTGGTTCAAAGAAGAAATAAAGGGAGAGATCAAAAGATACATAGAAACAAATGAGAATGAAAATGCTACATGTCAAAACCTTTGGGATGCAGCCAATAGAGTAATAAGAGGGACGTTTATATCATTACAAGCCTATCTCAAGAAACAAGAAAAATCCCCAATAAACAACCTAATGTCTTAAAAACCTAGAAAAAGAACAAATGAAACCCAAAGTCAGCAGAAGGAAGGAGATAATAAAAATTAGAGCAGAATTAAATGAAATAGAGAACAAAAAAATAATAGAAAAAAATTAATGCAAGAAAGAGCTGGTTCTTTGAAAAGAGTAATAAACTTGACAAACCTCTGGCTAGACTCATTAAGGAAAAAAGAGAAAAGACACAAATAAAATGAGAAACGAAAAAGGAGAAGTTATGACAGGCACCACAGAAATACAAAGAATCATATAAGAATGCTATGAAAGACTATATGCCGCCAAATTCAATAACCTAGAAGAAATAGACAAGTTCTTAGAAATATATAACCTTCCTAGACTGAAGCATGAAGAACTGGAAACAACTGAAGTGTTCTTCAATAGATGATTGGATAAAGAAGATGTAGAACATATATACAATGGAATGGTACTCAGCCACAAGAAAGGATGAAATACTGCCATTTGTGACAACATGGATGGATCTTGAGAGTACCATGCTAAGCAAAGTAAGTCAGACAGAAAAAAGTCGAGAACCATATTAATTTCTCTCATATGTGGGATATAAAACTGAAGCAACAAACAAGACAAATAAAAACTCATAGACACAGACACCAGTTTAGTAGATACTGAAGGGCATGGGGGAGGGTAGGAGGTAGAAGAGGGTAAAGGGGGTCAAATACATGGCGACGGAAGAATTAACTTTGAGTGGTCAACACACAATGTAATAATATATGGATGATGTATTACAGAATTATATACGTGAGACCTATATAATTTTATTAACCAATGTCACCCTCAATAAATTCAATAAAAAGTAAAGTAAATGTAATACCTCAGAGAGGGCAAGTAAGTTTTTTTTTTAAAAAAAGTAATATATACAGGATTGATCCCCATTCTTAATACAAACTCCCACTCTTAACAACCGCATCTGAGCCACTGTCCTCTGGAAGTTCACAAACACATGAATATGTCTGCTAACATACTTCTTATAATGACTTTCTGACATTGGGACTCCAAGTTTAAATGAAAACTTTGCATTTGGGGTTTAAGCTTAGACATTATAATGCCTATGACTTTAAGAAATGATGGGATGGATGAAGACAACTGCAATCAGAAAAAAAAAAAACTTGCCTGACCAAAGCCTAGAGCAAAGGAAATCTTTGAAAAGGATCATTTGACTAGTTATATTTGACTTAATTGTGGGGCAGAAGTGGCAGAACAGGAATAAATGAGGGGGAATGTATCAATTGTTATCTATATGATACTTTATAATATTTGCAGCCTCCATGTAAAATGTACCACCCAGTGTATCCCAATTACGAGGCAAGATGTCCGAATATAACTGCACCTGTTTGTGCTGAAAATGGCCACACTTACCAGAATGAGTGTTTCTTTTGTGTTGATGAGTGGTAAGTTCAAAGTAAAATATCATTGTTTTTTTCTCTGTATTTCTTCAGAGAAATTTCAAATAATCTTAGCCAAGGAACTAAATTTACTGATGCATGGGATTTCCTTTTTAATAGCCTCTATTATTCACAAAATATTTTGGACAGACTACATATAAAGTGGTGCCTTTTAAAAAAATGTAGTGAACATTCAAAGTTGACTCATTAAAAAAAGAAAGAAAAAGGGCCGGCTGAGCGGCTCAGTTGGTTAAGAGCAACAGCAGTTCGAGTCCTGGCCCCTAAGCTGAGCTGCTGCTGAGCTGCCAACAGGTGGCAGGATGGCTCATATAAAAAAAAGAAAGAAAGAAAGAAAGAAAGAAAATGTTACATGCTATTTTGGTTGAATTGTGTAGAGATATTAGTAGATAGTCTGTATTCAAGCAATGAGTAAAAATCCAATTTTTAAAATCATTCAAATTTCCTGTAACAATTCACATTGACATACCTATGAATAACACCCATCAATGTTAGGTATAAATAAATTATAGATATAGATATAGACACAGGTGTGTCTATATATATATGAGTAAAAAAGTGGTTATGTGGTAAAAATTGAGAGTTGACTTTTAATAATTTTTTGACTTTTAAGTAAATTCAATATGAAATTTAGATTTTAAAATGAGTAATATTCCTTGTAATGTATTTTAACTCCATTACAAATTATTTTTACAAATCATCTTGTGTCTGGTCAATAACTCTTCCATGACCTATGAGATCCCCAAGACTACCATCAGGTTTGATAATTTGCTAGGGGGAGTCACAGAACTCAGAAAAGCTGTTACCCTCATGGTAGTGGTTTTCTATAATGAAAGGATACAGATTAAAGTCAGCAAAGGCAGAAAGCTCACACGGTGCAGCCCGGGAGAAAACAGGCACAAACAAGCTTTCAGTTGTTTTTCTCCCAGTGCGTTCACACAGGCAATGCTTAGTTTTTCCAGCTGTGAAGCGTGACAACAGGTATGAAGTACTGCCCACCTGGGAAGCTAATAAAAAAAGCCTTGGTGTCCGAGCAATTTGTTGGGGACCAGTCACCCAGTCATGCAGCACTGGCAATGACTAACCATTACTTAGTCTCCAGACACCCCCCTCCCACCACAAAAAAAAAAAAAAAAGAGAGAGAGAGAAACATCAAACTGATACAGAGTGACTCAGGACCACAGGTGAAAAAACAGGCATTCATTTGAGCATAAACTACCTGCCGTGGCCTTTGACCCTGGGTTACAAAGACACTCTTACCAGGCAGGCTACTCCAAGGGTTTCTAGGCTGTTTCCCCAGAGATGATTAGAGCATCCCCAGTCTGCTGAGTTAACTTTTCACGCACATCTTCCTTTGAGAAGAATCTGCATGTGCTTTCACATCATATTCCCAGCCCATGAGGAAACAGGAATAGCAGAGTAAGGAGCATAGACTGTGGCCTATGAGCATGCAAAGCTAGTGAAGATTTGAGCAGAGTGTGTGAAATCAGTGAATTACTATGTATTGCGGTACTTCTATGGCTATCTTATCTTGGTAGAAAAATCTGACATTGCTATGTTGAATGGAAAGGTATCCAACGGGAACGAACAGGTTAGGGGATGAAAGATCCTCTGCCGAAACTCTTCACAACACACTTTTTTGAATAATCAAGACCTATGGAGCAGGAATGAGCAAGCTGTGGTGGTGATAAACAGGAGTGGAAAAGAAGTGGGTGTAAAGGGGGTTGTAAAAGCAGCTCCCTTTCTTAGGATGTCATTTGGAAGATAAGGGAATGTGAAATAAGGCCCACTCACTTTCCTTGTAATAATAATCTTTTTTTTTTCTCTTTAGGGAATTCGGTAGATCTCACATTAAATTTTTCAAATATGGAAAGTGTGAATAACGGGTAACAGAGTCCTACACTCATTATTTTCACTACTTAATGCTGAAAATCATTTCTTTTGGCATGTGAAGATGTATAAGAAAAAACACATTTCTATGCAGCACCCAAATTTGCAACAAAATCGAAAACCAAGGGATTAAACTAATGGAGAACCAAATATCGCATTTATTATGAATAAACATCCTAATAAAAGAGTCAGTAGATATTCATCTCTTTGTGCTGATTGTTTCAAGTCAGCTTTCATTTTGCTTGGGTCTAAGGTATGTTGTCAAGGAGGCTTACCTGACACTCCCTTGAATTAAATTTCAGGCTTATCTGCAAGGTCAAACCCTGCCCCACCAATCCCACTGAGCAAAAGAGAAAATACCCTCCCCCCCACACACACACACACAAACACACATAGGCTGTTTGAGGCTTTTTACCTCATATTCATGAATGAAGCCCACCTTCATTAGACGAGGAGAATATCCGATACATGCTAACAGAAGGAGGGAGAAGGAGAGCCAAGAGGTTTTTATTGGGGGGAGGAGGGGAAGGGGACAGCCATGTTTTGGAGGGAACCAGGGGAGTTGACATCATCTGACTCCCTAGTTCCAGCATAATCCCCATTCCACCCCGTCGTTACTATTATACTGGTCAATAAATCCCTTTTGTGGTTATTGTTGCTTAATCTGGCTTATAATCAATCACCTATAACTGAACGATCTTGACGGATACAGGGAAATGACGTCACTATGACATTTGAGTCTGGGGAGATGAAAAGTGAAAAACAGCTCTTGGCCTCTGGCGTCTGTGTGCTGTGTATCATGACCTTTTTTTGCCACTAGATGTCAGCCTCACTTTTCTATCTTAGTCTGACTAGTTCTTTATTTAACGAGACGGTCCAGAGGAGGGCGCACTACTACTTTTCCCATCACCTTTCCAGCTAATACACAGTCTACCTCTGCTGGCAACAGGGGCCCTCCTCTCTTTACAGCTGCCGCCTTCCCTGGTTTTGTACATGGTTTCGTATATAGGCCTAGGCCTACCCTATTTTAATAAACCTGGGCACCTGTGTTCTGTGTTAATTCTCCAGGAGATTCTAATGCACGTCTGCATTTGACAGCCATTCTCTAGACTGAGTCCCCCATTCCTGCATATCCTCAACAGCTGGTGGAATGGAAAGAGCAGGTATTGTGGTCACTAAGAAAGTGACATCGGTGAGATACCACCTCACCCCGGTCAGAATGGCTATCATCAATAAATCAACAAACAGCCAGTGCTGGCGAGGCTGTGGAGAAAAGGGAACCCTGCTGCACTGTTGGTGGAACTGAAGATTGGTGCAGCCATTATGGAAATCAGTATGGGGGTACCTTAAAAAACTGGAAATGGATACCGTATGACCCAGCAATTCCACTCTTGGGTATTTATCCAGAAAAACCCAAGACGCTAATTCGAAAAAATATATGCACCCTTATGTTTATTGCAGTGCTATTTACAATAGCCAAGACTTGGAAACAACCAAAATGCCCATCGGTAAATGACTGGATTAAGAAACTGTGGTACATTTATACAATGGAGTATTACTCAGCTGTAAAGAAGAATGAAATCGTACCATTTACAACTCTATGGATGGACCTAGAGGCTATTATGTTAAGTGAAATAAGTCAGTCGGAGAAAGACAAATACCATATCATCTCACTTATATGTGGAATCTAAAAAACTGAATGAACGAGCAAATTAAACAGAAATAGTCTCAGAGGTATAAAGGAAAAACTGATGGTTGCTAGTTGGGAGAGGGTGGGGATGAGAAAGAAGGGGAAGGGATTAGACACCATAAATAGGTAACTACAATATTGCCACAGGGACATGAAAGACAGTTCGGGGGATATAATTAATAATGTAAATATTTTATAGGGTGTCAGATGGTCACATGTTTTGTTAGGGAGACTACTTCATGGATGGGGTAGAGGCTTGATCACTGCACTGTACACCAGAAGCTGATGTTGTATAATATTGTATGACAACTATAATTGAATATATATATATAGTCACGGGATGTGGAGTATAGTGTGGGAGTGGAGTCAATGGAATTGTAATAGATATGTATGATATGGTCGGGGGGGGACGGCAGATGGGGGAAAGGGGGTTGTCACTTTGAGGGGTAAAAAGTACAACTATTGCACTTTGTTGTAAACCTGAAACTAATGAAAAAATTAAAAAATAAAAAATTAATTTGTTAATTAATTTAAAAAAAAAGACAAAAAGTGACATCGGGGAAGGTAACTTCTCCCTGGGCTAACTTGTTTTGTCTCTACAATGAGAATTTTAACTTTGATAATAAAAGGTATATAACTTATATAATTAGCATTTTATTATACATTTAACATTACTATGTACACTGCTGTATCTTTGTCACTGTATCAAACATGACTAAGCCCAAAACGCATTGGCTGAGAGCCTAATTCAGGTAGTCCTAGGATTTCTGAGTTGGAGTCAGGAGTCAGACCATCCAAACAATCTCTGACTTGTTCCATAATATTGCTAATGGGCTGGCAACTACCAGGGTTTCCCACTGATGGAAACTGACTGCATGATGAAACCTGAGCACTGCTGTGGAGGTCTGAGTGTAAGGAAGCCTGCTTACCTTGCATCCAAACCTACATTCATGATGCTTTCAATAACCAGAGCCTTCCATACCAAAACAGAAGTTTACGCTCTCTCCCAATTAACAGTAGAAGATGAATTTTCTGTCTTCTACTCAGTACATACTCAAATCTCATTTCTCCAGGAAAAATGAACAAAAACAGAAACAAAAAAAAATTCCATTCATTTCAGTCATTTCTCAAGTCTTGTTTTTATTATTTCTTTCTCTCTGGTCTGGACATGCTACATTTAGGTAGTTCTCATCTTAAAGTATGTAGACATAAATTTAATTAAGCCTTTTGATAAACTGATAAATCTTCCTTTTTTTTAAGATTTTTTTTTTAATTGGGGAATTGGGGGAAGGGGAGAAGACAAGTTGCTCTCCTTTTGTTCTTCAGTCTAGTTGTGGAGGACATTGCTTCACTGGCCCAAGTTGGCACCATCATTGCGCTCTTCCCGGGTGAGGCACATCAGTCACCAGCTTCTGGACGGCTGCTCACTGCGGCTGCTGGCCGCTCACGCTGGCTGCTGGCTACACACGGTAGCCCATGGCAACCCACTGCAGCAGGGGCTGCAGCCTATCCCGTCGCCAGCAACTCATGGCAGCCCAGCTCCAGGTTGAGCTGTTGTTCAGCATCTTAGCTGTGGAGGGCAGTGTCACTGGCCCTCATATGTGGGATCCGAACCGGGGCCCTCTGGTGTCCCAAGCCAGCTCTTAACCAATGTGCCACTCGGCCGGCCCTAAATCTTCCTTTTATAGATTATGTTTAGACACTACTAGAATTGGTGGATTCCTTGCATTGACGCAGTGGTGGTGGCAGCCAGGAAGAAGTAGGTAGAGGTTCTGTCTGCTCCAATGGGTACATTTACCTTGTGGCCTTCACCACTGAAGGGAATTCTGCAAAGGGACCCTTGCTTTCAACAGAGTGATTTCAACTTAAAGATGATTCTGAGTCATTTGGGGAAAAAAATGTGGCGGAGAATGTGTTAAACATTTCACAGTTTCCTCTTCTTCTTGAAGTTAAAGTCAATCTAAAGTGGTTGAATTCTTTTAAGTTCCAGTGAGAAAAGCTTTATTTCTTGTTAAATTCACTGGTGTAAAACAGATTGTTTCCCCCAAATGCTGGATGAATCCTGTCTTACTCTACCTTGTGGCTAACGATGTGGAATTTTAGGACTCTTGGTTCACTTAGTAATCATTTGTTGAGCAGTTCCTACTCTGTGCTGGGCACTGGTATAAGCAAGCAAGCTATACAGGCAAGATCCCGTTGTGGAACGTGCATTCTAATGCTGAGAGGTGAATAATATACAAATCAAGGAATGGACAAGGGCAGGTAAGTAATGAATGCTGTGATGATAAGGAATAAAACAAGATCGTATAATAACAAGTGAGACACACAATGGGAGTTCAACAGCTAGACACTTAATGAATGTTTGAGACCGTGAAGTCCTAGACACACACACACACACTGAAATCACCATAAGGAAAGCTTGTCATAGACAATAATGCAAAGAGAGAAACATGGAGAAAAGGCAATTGAAAAAAATAGGTGAAAGAATTTTTTAATCCAATCTCACATAGAATTCAGTACAAAACATTTAGCCTAATTAGAGAAGACACAGGCTACACAGAGCATGTCTGATTTACAAGTTGAACATTTTAATGCCATTTTATAGAATACTGGAATTGGAGAAAATGGAATCTCTAGTCTGGCTCCTTCTCATCATTCAAGTGTCTGTCCAAATAGCATCTCCTCTGAGAAGGCTTCTCTGATCACCCAATCTAATTTGGCCCCCATTTCCATATTATTCTCTAGCCCAATATCATGATATATTTTCTTTTAAATACTTGTCAACATTTGAAATCATCTTACGTTCTGTGATTCTTTTCTTTCTTTCTTGTTTTTGTTTTTCACTCTACAAGAAAGTGAGTACCAAGAAGGAGAGTCCTTGGCTGTCTAGTTCATCCCTGAACCTCCAGTGAGGATAACACCTGCCTGGAACAAAGAAGGGAAATGGTGAAGTTGATTTTACTTGTGTTTCATTGTTATTAAGTAGCGTTATGTTAATATGTCAGGGTAGGGAGGACTTACAGGGTTACATACAGGAAATATTAAAGAAGCTGATCTATATTATCTGGAGAAAAAAGACCTTTCTAGGCACTCTAGAGCTGCCTTTGCACATCTGAAGGGATACACTTGGAGAGAGAGCAGACTGGTTCTACCGGGCTCCATTGTAGAGAACCAGAGTGTACGGAAGCCATAGGGAGATGGGGTTCTCTTCAATATGATAAAGACTTCTTCCAAGCAGACCGAAAACTCAGTGATCTTCCTTGGTAATGGGTCTATATATTGAATATCATAACTTCATGGGAA